TCCGCGCAAAAAAAATTAAAACCCATGAAATCCAATTATAATAAATTCACGCGGACAAAGTCTCGGGGAACAGCTAGTGATCTTATAAAGTTCTTCCACGTAGACTGAAAAAAAAATAACAAAACGCTGGAGCGACTAGAGACGGCTATTTGTCTAGTCGAGCGTCGCACTACAAAACGACGTAATAATGTGCGGCAGCTTAACTTGCCAACATTTTGCCGAGAGAGAAACATAAAACTTGACCGTTCACGATGTCACTACTTTACTGAGAAACTTCGAATTAATCTAACTCAGTATAGTTCGGCCAGCTATTATTTTGTTATTCTTTCAAGTTATTAACAGTATTACGTATTTAGTAACTATTATTTAATCTGTGGTACCTATGTATTGTTTAAATACATTTATTAAAATGACTAACTTGAATAATCTGCCTCAATATAAATATATATATATATATATATATATATATATATATATATATATATATATAATGAGGCAGATATATGTTGCCAGTAATGACTTACGGATCTGAGACGTTATCCTTCACTGCTGGCCGTAGGAGGACGCTCATAGATGGAGTGATGACCTGGTGAGACATGCAGGAAGTCGATGGATGCAGGTGGCTCAGGACCGTGCTTTGTGGCATTCTTAGGGGGGAGGCCTATGTTCAGCAGTGGACTTGTGAAGAGCTGTAATGATAATGAATGATGATATTATACTTACGACCCCCCACTAGGTACTAATGCCAACTGGAAAATTTGCATTAGTATTTTTTATATAATCACCCAATTACTAATTTTGGAGTTAGTTAAACAGTTAGTAAAGTGTATATATATATATATATATATATATATATAAGAGAAGGAGTGGTATGTTAGTAATATAATATCAGCCTTTTATTGAACTAAGGCGGGGATTAGCATGACACTGAGACATGGTTTGTCAATTCGGAATAACTATCGTAATGGCTGAACGAGTCGTAATGAAACTTTACGAGTATATAGACAGCAATTTTCAAAAAATTGGAGATATTTTTCTAGCGACTCGCCCCGTCTTGGCCTGGGTGGCTTTAATCATGTGGCGTTATTAAGATTGAATTACCAAAATTGACAATTTAATTACAGAACACCAATCATAACTTAAAACACACTAATAATAAAAGAGATTTGTACTACTGACCACCTTAGTTCGCAGTTGTATCGCTTCAAAGTATTATATATATATATAATTCGCTGGTAAAAGGAGGCACAGGCCTCTCCTAATTTCTGAGAGGATTTTAAGGCAAGGAAATGTCCGCCACGCTGCTCCAATGCGTGTCGACGGACTTTACATGTCTTCGAAATACTTTTTTTATTATTTCTCAGACATGCCGGTTTCCTCACGATGTTTTACTTTACCGCCGATCTTGCAATTAACAATTTCATTGGTGCCGGCGAGGATCAAACTCGGGTTGCTCACGTACTGTCAAATTTACGGCGAGCGCTTAACTCCTGAGCTATCACGGCTCTCATATGTTAAATGAAGGCTAAATACATATTATTATATGTTAAATACGACGCGAAGGGTGGAGTAAAGTGCGTGACTTTCATGACCCTGGCTCTCGAGTTTCGCTGACCTTTGTCATTTAGACGCGCCTTTTATGTCCCTCCAAAGAGCTCTACATTGGTAATTTGATATACTCCAATTCTTTGTTTTTGGTATTAAAGTTTTATTCTTCACTTACGTAAGTAGATATTGCAATAATTCAATGAATAACTTGTGTTTATACTTTAATCAATTTTGTTTTATTATGTTAGGTAGTTATAGTAACAGATTGTATCGTTTCAGACTTGAACGTTTGTTGAGGGCATTGTTTCTACTATTTATGGCCTCGTAACATGGCTTTGACCGTTGACATATTGATTGAAATCGTCCGTATTAAAGCAGAGGTTCCAAATTGTGCGCCGCTTTACTGCCACTAGAGAGCAAATAACGGCGCCGTGAGGCGCTTCTGTTTACCATTCCCCGAAAACTTAACTTAGATATTTGCGGCTACAAAATAAATAATACAATCCGTGCACTGCATACGTCACTCATTCGCCGATAAGTACTTGCGCTCGAAAACGGATTCAAAATGTCCAACTTTACGTTCAAAAGCTCTAAGAATTCTTATTCCCTTAGGCCTATCTACCTAATATACCTACCTACAGTACCTTATTACGACTATCTAGAGCGCCGAAACAAAATACTAACCCTGTAAGTTCGCCGCGAGCTGAAAAAGGTTGATCACCCCTGTAAGGTATTTATTGAAACTAGGCGTTGTCTAGCGGTCAAATTTCGACCGTTATTGATTACATTTTTAGGTTTTTATGTTTAGCAAGCTGTATTTCACTTTCAACCAATGTGTACTTCTAGACGGGCTATTTTGTTTTAATACGTTGCAAACTGAGTTACAATAAATTCTCCGTAACTCCTTAGTCAACTGCCAGCGGCGAGAAGTTTTGTTATTTGTTTTGTAAATCGCGAAAGTTGACAATCTAACACTGATTTATTTAATGTGACTAGAAAAATTAAAACTGTAATTTTTATGTGCGCAATTTGTCAACGTGAAAAGGAACTGTCATCTTAATTTATCCACCTCGTTACCCTTCCGCGCTCACGCTCGCGCGATGTAAGCTTGTGCGTCGCGAACTAAAAAAGTTTGAGAACCCCTGTATTAAGGTATTTACTGAAACTAGTACTACTTAAAATTCGACCGTAATTCATAACAGTTTGTTTTATTATATTATTTGTAACACATATTATGTATAACTTTTAGCTTTCGCCACTCCTTCTTCATAATAAACTATCTATGCCGATTCTCACACCTCCGTGCACGTGTTTAGCTTAAAAAGGGGTACAAAGTTATTCCTTTACGTATTAATGCTACAATTGAAACCAGTTTTTAGATAGAAGTTTTCCCTAGTTAAAACTAGTTTTCACTTAATGCCTTTGTTATAACTAGAATTAACTAAATGTAGTTTTTGTTATAATTTCCAAAATATATTTAAAATCAGAGGTAACAAATTAACTTATTCCATACATTAGGTATATAGTCTCCCATTAATGTGGGATAATCACAAAGACGAAAAAGTGGCAACATTGAACCTAAATTGCAATATTCGATAGCTTTATTTATTTTTTGCGGATTTTACGTTTATATGAAAACTTATGTGTGGAAAGACAAAAAATGATTCCGCTTGATTTGTTATTTTTTGTGACCTTGATTCGCATTCTTTCACTACACATTTACCCATTTTTTGTCGCGGATCGTTCGGCTCAACTCTGTCGGCGTCAGCTTGAGCACTGAACTGACCTTAGCTAGGCATATGGCTGTGGCCATATGTGCAGTAGTAACGCTTTGGCGCGGTAATTACTAATCTAGTGTAATCAATGATATACAAAAAACTCAAAATCAATCAGTGTAATATGTAAATCAATGGCTAGTTTTAACCAAAGCTCGGAGTGACAGCTAGTTTTATCTGAAAATATATCAGTGGTAAATTCTAGTTTTGACTAGGTATTTCTAGTTTTCACAAAGGCATTTAGTAAAAGCTAGGGAAAACGTGTTTTATCTAAAAACGGGTTTTAATGTAATTAATATATAAATAATTATTATGTATGTAATCAATCTTGCCTTTTAAACTACGTATACTTTTCAAATTCTCCATATTATTCTTTTGCTATTTTTCTTTACGTTTTCCTATAATATGCAGTTATAAATTTATTATGCCTAATACGAATATACGCAGGTGTAATTGTAATTGACTATCTACTATATACAAACTACACCGCAGCAAAGCTACTGCTCTTTGTTAACTATGCGGGATCCAAGAACACGGAATACAAGATATATTGTTCAAACTTGCCAACAAGTCCTAATAAGTCTTAGTCTGCAACTCGCTATGATTCTCTAAAGAGGAAACTTTCGTGCTCTGCAAACGAGCTGCGGAACGTCTCGGTGCATTTCAGTTTTCAATAAAGGGAAACAACCCGCGCTATAATCCACGGAACGTTTATTCACCTGCTGGGAGCGCAGTAGTTGATAACGAGGTTATATGAAACAGTTTCAGGCGAAATTGCTCAGGGAATGTACTTCGGTGTCATAAAGTTTGGACGGAGCCGTCGGACAAGCAGCACCTGTGCAGCTTTGTATTATATTACGTCCTAACAAGTTATGAACACGATACAACTTTGTTAGCTTTCAATTGTGTTACGATTGATTTATTGATCGTAAATTGAATGTAATTTTCGATTGGTATCTTTCTCAATCTTTATATTGAGTCCCAATGTTTTTTTTTTAATATGATGCTCTATATTAATTTATAACTTCATTTTCACTAAGACAAAAAACCATTGTCATGACAAGCTCAGCAAATGTTCACTGCTTTACATATGGCTCTATCATAGATTGCCTTTATCTATAAAATAAATATATGATATAGATAATATTAGCCATAGTTGCCAAGCTTGGCATGCGGATTGGCAACCGCATTTGTTTTTTTATTATTATTGTGTTGTTATCAGGAAGTTGTTCTGCCCAACTCCTGTTTCAGTTTCCCTCTGTCTCTCAGGGAATAATATGGAGATAAAGGATTCTCTTGCGCCGCCACTATGCAGCACATGGCATAAATAAATAATCCGTCACATTACAAAACGAAGTTTATTCAAAGTTTCAAGCTTAAACTATGGCTTAAGGAAAATCTTTTTAACGAAAGAAGTCCCCTTAGCTCCGGCACCACAATCTTCGAATCTACGCAAAAATTGACATTTTCTGTCCAACTCCATAATTATTTCATATATTTAAGTACGCATGTTTTTTCTGGACTTCACGAAAAATATTCTAGTTTGAAACCTGAAAATAACTTTAAACTACTATTTGTAATTAAAATAAAACGAAAATTACATTCACCGAGAGTATATTAGAGTATATTACGAGTATATTATTATCACTTAATAAACTATGTGTTCGCAGGTTTACGATGGACTGGAGGACTGTTTTAGTGGCGCTATCGTTGGTGTTTTATACAGAAGCATTCTCAAGTAAGTATTAATACACATCACAATTTTAGGTATAATTTTGAAACAGAACCCTGATAAAATCACTGCGAAAAATGCAATTTTCTCCTGGTGAACTTTGTATGTCAATCCATTCTTTTGTTTGAAATATAATATATACATCTATATTTATACATGTGAATAAAATTGAAGTTTCTGTCTGTAATTTCGAAATCATCATCATAATAATTACAGCCCTTCACAAGTCCACTGCTGAAGAACATAGGTCTCCCCCAAGGAATGCCACAAAGCACGCTCCTTAGCCACCGGCATCCATCGACTTCCTGCATGTCATACCAGGTCGTCACTTCATCTAGTGGGGAGTCGCCTTATGCTACGCCTGTCGGTACGAGGCTGCCACTCGAGAACTTCAACTTTTTCCCCATCGGTTATCGGTTCTTCGAGCTATATCGGGTCGGCCCATTGCCAGCTTAGCTTACTAATCCGTTGGGCTATGTCGGTCACTCTGGTTCTACTTCGGATATCTTTATTTCTAAGATTATCACGTAGAGAAACCCCGAGCATAGCTCGCTGAGTGACTGAGGGTCCTCATACGGCCAGCAGTGAAGGACCACGTCTCAAATCCATAATTCATCACTGGCAACACGCGAAATATTTTTTTATTTTTTTTAGAGGAGAGGGGGCAAACGAGCATGCGGCTCACCTGATGGTAAGTGATTACCGCCGCCCATGAACACTGCATCACCAGAGGAATTGCAGATGCGTTGCCGGCCTTTTAAAAAGGAGTAGGCTCTTTTCTTGAAAGTCCCTATTTTAACGCGCAAACTTGTGTCTTCTGGGGATTGAACTGGACTAGATTTAGTCGCCCCCAATCCGAGGTCAACTTCTTCAACAAAGTCTCGAAAACAAGCTTCAAACACAAGCTTTTCCCGGTACTCGGCGACGTTTTCCTGAGAAATATTGGCACGGCCGGTGTATAAAGCATCACCAGTACTGTATGCGGACGGCATAGCAATGAATGTTATGGTTTAGGAGAGATACGAAGTAAGCTGGAGAGGACACCTGTCGGTTAACCGAGACGGTTAGAAAGAGCAAGGTCGGCTTAGCCGTTTTCAGCTGGTAGTGGACGGCGTCAAGGTTGGAATGAAATCCCCTGATGTTGCAGAAATTCACGGATAGCGTGGCAAGGGGCCCTTTGTCTTATTGCTCCGTTTGCCCCAAGCAGGTTTAGCCTTGAGCGGAATTTCGCCCCTCCCCGCAAAATACGTGGGGCAGCCTGAGCACTCACGCTCAGGAAGAGTATGATAGCTTGGGCGTGTGTGCTCAGCAAGGGATTCACCGTCGCCAGGGGTACTGGTACTATTGTGTTGTTGTTTTTAACTACGCTACCATGTTAACATGGTAATAATTAGTATTATTACCATGTTAGGGGGGGGGGGGAATTGGGAATCCGGCCACCTGCATTCACCAGACAGAAGCAATGCGTCTCCTTCGCGCTGATCTTCTGTGAGGTCGTGGTACCACTCCGCTTCGAGCCGACCCATACGTGCAACAGCAAAAGCTGCTGCGTGGCTCTACCACTGTTAAACTTGTATTTCTTTTCTCCAAAAACATAAATCTTTGACAATCTAATTAATATATGGATACCCAGACAAAGCGCGTCGCCAGTACTGAATATAATCGTCCCATTTCTTGATATAGACTACCTATTATTTATGAGGGGTAAAGGTAAGTTATGATATATATTAAAGGATTGGTTCAAATGCCCATGAAACACATTGATATGTACAACGATATATTCATGGCATATAATTGTGTCTGTAATATTGAATTAACTGACTTTTGTTGAACTGAGGGGTTATTTTCATGACATTAAGATATGAACAGCCATTTTTATTTTTGTCTGTCTGTCTGCCCGGGCTAATGTTCGAAATGACAGAAACTTTAGATTTTAGCCCACGGTGTGCTGTGAAGGACGATGGTGGGATTCTCGGAGTATTTCTTAAATCTTATCATACTATTTTGTCAGTGATAAAAGACCTGCGTCTTACTGACAATGAAACCATGGTCAGATTTGATGTTCAGTCTCTATTTACATGCCTACCTGTTGAAGATTGCATCTCAATTATAACTAGGAGGAAAATAACATGCCAGCCTTGAATCGATTTTCTATTAGAACATTCTACAAGCCGCCGAAGATTAGTCAGTTCTTACCATCCGTCAAGTGTCGTAATCCTCTACAAGATGCAGGAGTGAACAAGCTTGTGATTGTAATGAAACTTGACAACAGGAAAACTTGTTTTTTTTTTTGCCTTGTACGGCTACTTCTCGCAGTGGCTTAGCAATGAGTCACATCGCTAAGGCCGCGGGTTCAAAACCCGCGCGAAACAATAATTTGCATGACCTACAAGTAATTATTCCGGGTCTGGGTGTTTATCCTTGTGAAATTTATGTATGTAACCTGCCCCCACGATACAGGAGAAAATCCTAGTATGGAGGTAACGTTATTATAAAACAAAAATGAATATTTTTGAGAAATCGGGAAATTGATAAAATAAAAAATGGTATTTGATGACTATCCTAAATCTAAATAACGTCACATTATGTGTTACTTGTGTATACGTGGTAGAGCCATATTATATATAGTTGTAGCACCAGCGTAAAATAGTAGCTAAATGCTGCTGTGTTTCTTATAGTGAGTGTAGAGAACCGGAGACTCTTTTTACTGGAAATGAGGCATACCATATTAGTCCTCACGCGTGACAACCCATCTGCATTTTGATTCGTAATCGAGAATACATGTAGATGTCTATGGGCCACAGCAACCACTTACCATCAGGTGAACTGTGTGCTCGTTTGTCACCTTATGCTATATTAAAAACATTAATGGAATCTACCCAGGAGAAGCCGGGGCGTGTCGCTAGTAATGTAATAAAATTATCCATTATTGCCTGAAAAGTTGACGACTCCATGGCGCAGTGGCTTAGCAATGAGCGGCTGCGCTGGGGGTCGCGGGTTCAGCACGGAACAAGTATTTGTATGGCCTATAAATAATTGTTCCGGGTCTGGATGTTTGTCCTTGTGCAATCTATGTTTGTAAACTGCCCCCGCGATACAGGAGAAAATCCTAGTGTAGGGGTAACGTTTAAAAAAAACTATTTAGTTTTATATATCACGGGAAAATTGCCGCTACGACCATAGAATTTTATTTACATAGCAGGCTGTGAGACATTTCATTTTAGTCCTCGGACGTGACAACGCATCTGTAGCGTTCTTTGTTCAAAGTTGGCTGCGGTCCATGAAATACAATAACCACTCACCACCAACTGGACTGTAAGTTTACTTGTCACTTCAGGGTTATAAAAGAGACATCTCCGGATCTTTAAAGTTTCCTCCAGGGTGATATCATTGTAAATTTTTCACATCGCTCCTATACTGTTGTAACTTCTCATCCTTTTTAACAGACTGAGCCTACAGCTGGAAATAGGCTTCTCCCATGCTAAGGAAGATAAGCTGTGATTGACACGCCTGGCAGAAAGATTGGGACTGGATAGCAGGAACAAATCTCTCACACCTGTGATGCCGCTTTCCGTTACCGGTCTGGGTGTATATCATGTGGCATAAATACGAGATGGTTATGCCACAATCTGCCAGAAACCTTATGAGAGATAATATTATATTACTAATAAAATATTATATAACTTTGTGAGAGATATATTTTTTTACGTGGTAGATTCACGCTGCAGCTATATTATAGTTGTAGCATGAATGGGTCGCCTCAACCGAGGCAGGACCCACGATCTCACAGAATACCAGCGTAATGCTGCTGTTTCGTATGGTGAGTATAGAGAACCGGAGACTCTTTTTACTGTAATCGATGCTTTCCATCTTAGTTCTCAAGGGTGAGAACGCATTTACATTTTGATTCTTAATCGAGGATAGATGTAGAGTCTATGGGCCACAGCAACCACTTACCATCAGGTGGACTGTGTGCTCGTTTATCACCCAATGCTATAAAAGAAAAATATATGACTTGGTGATTTGGTCTCTTGCCGGCACCACGCGACCAATATCTATTTATTAAGAGAACTGTGTAGCTGTAAATTTTCATACATAAAGCGGTAACGCCTCCACCCCCCATCCCCTTCCGGAAACACAGTTTTAATTTCATAGTTTTTGGAAATGTTGTAGATATAATATAAAACTATGTTTGTACGTTTTTATCTTAAAGAAATATTGCGCACGATATAAGTTATTAGCATCTAAATATCTATATTTTTGACTTTAAAACTTCCTCGAGCGTTCTTATTTTTTCAATTAAATTAAACTTAATTACTAAAAAAGAATATATGAATGTACAGACCTAGATTAACGTATATTGATACTAATGAGACCAAAATTGTTGCATTTTGTAAAGTATTAGAGGAGTAAAAACGTTATCGCCCGAAAGCCCAAAACAATATTAAAGGAAATGTAGGCAGTTGCCTCGAAGACTTGCAACTTTATCGTACGATAGGGCGATATGGAGCGAGCGGTATGAAACAGATAGCTTTTCGAAAATACCTGCTCATGCCGTGTATGGTCACTTCACAATGCTCTTAAGCCGGCTATACATGTTGGCCCCAGCTCGGCGAGCGAAAGCTAGTACCAACGTATAGACAGCCCATTTGTTTAGCCTCGCCCTGCTAGCTAGCCAAGTGCAGACGAGTGCCAACGAGTATATGGTTCGTTTGGCGTGCCTTGCCTCGGGATCGCTAGCCACCACTCGGTTTTTCTGCACAAATCAAAGGCGCTCGCCTGCACCCAGGAAGTCGTGTCTACATGTTATGCCTCTTCTACACGACGACAGATGCGTCAGCGGACGTCGTCAGGTGCATCAGCTGATGAATCAGCACGAGCCGTCCACATGTCTGTAGGTCGTTTAGTCTGTGTTAATTCTCGACAGACGCAACTTGCATGCTCGCAGCATTTAATAAATGGATGTTAAGATCGTAGCTGCCGCAGCTATTAATTTATTTAGTACT